TGTTGGTGAAGAGGTGAGGGGGTCTGGTGGGTGGTTGTTCTCTGCTGGAATTGGAATTAAAAATGAAGAAGCAGAGGTCTGTTGGTTTGGTCTTGATGGAGAAGAAAGGGCAGGTTAGCCCATGGGGGTGGTGGTAAGGGAAACGGGTGAAGAAGAAGCAGGTCAGGGGTGTTGCTGGTGAGAGGTCCGGCGAGGCTTTGGTGGAGTTGGGTGAGAATCGGCGGGGAGGTCTTAGGTCTTAGGTCTGCGGCTTCTTGGGGTCTGTTTTTTGTGTATTGTATGCTCCCAGATAAAAACCGACTCTTCCCTTTTCTAGGTCTAGGGATATTTTATTTTGTTAAGAAGAAGAGTCTAGAAGGGTCTTTAGGGTTAGCTTAATGGGTATTGGGTATTGGGCTTGGATTTATGGGCTAAGTCTGAATTGGGTCCTAAAATTGGGCTCTAAGACTCTTAAACTTGTGGTCCAACACCTTAGTAAACTCCCTTTAATAAAAGATAAAAATACTACACAATGCAAAAACTAATTCTAATTAATTAAACTAAACTATTTTAAAACATGAAACTATTTTGTTTTTGTATTTTCAAGATTATATAAAGATAAAAATAAGGTACTATTTTTTTTAATTTTATGAAAGGTACATAAACTAAAAGTAACTATATAAAATATTTTTGTAATTTTTATTTTTGTTATAAAATAAAATAAAGTTAAAACTAGTTGAAATAGCGGTAGTAGACCTAAACTAAATATTTTACGCTAAAATATATAAAATCTTGGGGAGGGTCAAAAATTACATGTCTACAACCGGCCTAAGGCGGCTATCCGCCCTGTTAATCTTTGTACGGCCTTAACACTGTCCACGACTGCGATGTCTTCGATTGCCTTGATTTTATCGGGGTTAATCTTGATTCCCCGATTTGACACCATAAAGCAGAGTAACTTGCCCGAACCGACCCCGAACGCACATTTCTCGGGGTTGAGCTTCATGTTGTATTTTTTCAGTATGTTGAAGGTTTCCTGCAAATGTGTCAATGGTCCTCTGCGCGCAGGGACTTAACTAGCATGTCATCGATATAAACCTCCATCGATTTACCTATTTTTTCTTCGAACATTCTGTTTACTAGGCGTTGATAAGTAGCACAAGCATTTCTTTAGTCAAACGGCATTACATTATAGCAATAAGTACCATACTTAGTAATAAACGAAGTCTTTTCCTGATCTTCCGGGTTCATTTGTATTTGATTGTACCCGGAGTAGGCACTCGAGAAAGCTGAGGGTCTCGTGGCCGGCCGTGGCATCAATCATGCGATCGATATTCGGTAAAGGAAAAGAATCTTTAGGGCATGCTTTGTTTATTAAGTCTTTATAGTCTGCACACATTCTGAGTTTATTCCCCTTTTTAGGGACTACGACTACGTCTGCTAGCCATTTGGGATATTTTACTTCCCGAATGGACCCTATTTTGAGAAGTTTGGTTACCTCATCCTTGATGAATGCATGCTTAACCTCGTACTGTGGCCTTCTCTTTTGCTTTAGCGGCCTGAACTTCGGGTCCAAGCTCAATCGATGGGTGGTAATCTCCAGTGGGTTCCCTGTCATGTTAAGGTGGGACCAAGCAAAACAATCCATATTTTTAATAAGGAATTTAATGAGTTTTTCCCCGAGCTCGGGAGTTAACCCTGTGCCCAGGTATACATTTCGATGGGGCAGGTGCTCGATCAGTATGACTTGTTCCAGCTCTTCAACCGTTGACTTCATGGCATCGGAGTCATCGGGGATTACGAAGGTTCGAGGTATCATATAATCATCATCCTCGAAAGTTTCCTGCTGCTCCAATCTAGTCGAGGCCGGTGACTGTGGTTGCTATTTGACTTCTTGCTTTCCCTTCGATTTCGGTCCCTTAGTTGATGATAGTGCCGATACCGGTATTACCTTATCAATTGCAAACATCTCTTTGGCTACGGGTTGTTTGCCATACACCGTTTTGATTCCTTCTGGTGTTGGGAATTTCAAGACTTGATGAAGCGTTGAAGGCACTATCCTCATATTATGAATCCAAGGTCTTCCGAGTAGGGCGTTGTACCTCATATCACCATCGATGACATGGAGCTTCGTTTCTTGGATAGTTCCAGCCACGTTTACTAGCAAAATAGTTCCCCTTTAGTGGTTTCACTTGCCATGTTGAAATCGTTGAGTACTCGAGCTACCTGGATCAACCAACATACGTTTAACTTGAATTTTGTTCATATGGATAGATATTACCATTGCGTCGTTGTGAGGTTGTTCGATCCCTTCTGCATCCTCATCATTGAAAGATAAGGTATCTTCTGGTAAGTAGTCCCGGGTACGCTTCTCCCTCGTGATTGTAACTTTGGTGCGTTTAAATGTCGAGCGCTGAGGAATATCGACCCCACCAACGATCATATGAATCACGTGCTGTGGTTCCTCCTATTCGTTTTCCTGTTTGCATCTCTGTCTCTGAATTGATTTTTAGCTCGGTCACTCAAGAACTCTCGAAGATGACCTTCGTTGAATAAACGAGCTACCTCCTCCTTTAATTGTTTGCAGTCTTCGGTTCCGTGCTATTTGCACACTTGATTTGGGTTCCTTTGAGCTGGATCGGTTTGTAAGGGTCTGGGCCATCTAGTGCCCTTAATCCGACTGGTGGCTAATACAATACCTGATGCATCGACCCTGAAGCTGTATTCTGACAATTGAGGTGCTTCCTTGGATCCGGCATCCCTATCTAAGCTGCTTTTGCTCATAAGCCCTCGGGAACTCAGTCCCAGATCATTTCTTCTGTCATTCCGTATGGGGTTGCGTCCAGGCCCGTTATTTCTCCGATCTCCGTTGTACGGCTGATACCTTGTCTCTATTTGATCGTGGTTCCGGATCGACATCCCTTTTAACTCTGTCCACGGACCTGTTGGGATAAATCGAACCAACTGGAGTTCCCAATTGATCATCTTTGACCCTAATCTTCGACTGATGCCAATTGTGTACATCGGCCCAAGTGATAGCTGGATATTCGATCAAATTTTGCTTTAACTGTTGTGAAGCTATGGAGCTTCGAGTGTTGAGACCTTGTGTAAAAGGTTGAACAGCCCAGTCGTCTGTGACTGGAGGCAAATACATTCGTTTCGTTTGGAATCGAGATATGAATTCCCTGAACATCTCGTTATCCTTTTGTCTCACTTTGAAGAGGTTTGATTTCCTCGTTGCAACTTTAATGGCTCCGGCATGGGCTTTCACAAAAGAATCTGGGTGGTAAATTATGATACCATATCATGGCACTTTCGATGAAGTTTCTCCAAATTTCTTCAATAGAACGGATTCAATCTCATCATCTTCTAAGTCATTTCCCTTTATTCCGCATGTGTACAAAGTGAAGTGTTCATTAGGATCGGTGGTCCCATTGTACTTGGGGATGTCTTGCATACGGAATTTCTTAAGAATGGGCTTCAGAGCCACACTTTGAGGGAAAGTCTTCTGCACGAACTTCTTCGAATCCAAACCTTTTAGGATCGGAGGTGCCCCCGGTATTTGGTCCACTCGTGAGTTGTACGTTTCTACCTTTTTGTCGTTAGCCTCGATTTTCTTTTCACCCGATTCTATCCGTTTAGTGAGCTCCTCGAGCATCTTCATGACGGTAGGGTCAGTTCCCGATCCATTATCATTTAATTTCTCCTGTACAGGTTCGACCCTACGAACAACTTCCTGTGATGTATCGAGTTCGATTCTGCTTGGTGCTCGATTCTGATTTTGGAGTGGTGCTATCGCAGCTTGCTGAGTTTGTAACATTTCAAATATCACTTGAAGGCTAATCCCGCTTTCTTCACCACTCTGTGTGTCCTGATCGACTGCCCGGGTGTCTCTACGGACGCAATTTTCGAGGTCGACGCCTAAATTTCCGTGAATGGCAACACGAGAGCTGACATCGACTGGATTTACGGCTTGTGGTTCATCGGGATTGATTGGAGGTACTCCGTTTCCTGGGGCAACTGTGTGCTCGTTGTCACCACGAAGACCAAGGCCGGTGTCTTTGTGAGTGGGCACTTCTTGAGAGTTCGACACGTTGATTCGTGAAATCAAAGACACTCACGAGAACAAGCGTAAAAGCAGTGTGTGTTGAGGATTAATACTAGGCAATCACTATTATCCTTAGCCCCACTGGGCGCCAAACTATTTACCCTAAAAGCTGGATATCAATTAAACTTATAATGTGATTTTAAGGATACGTGATTTCACCTAATAGCAATTGATTAACGTAAAGATAAGTGATGGAAATTGACAATAATATAAAGCAAACTAGTGTTTGAACAAAGCCCTCGAGTTGGTAGAGCAAGAACAGTTAAAAAGCAACAACTGATAAACAAGAGAACGTAAGTTAAAGAGAGAATATTATATTGCTTTGATCTGTGTGAATGTAAGGTCCCTACAAATGATGGAGACTCCCCTTTATATAGTACAGAAATCCTAATTATGGTATAACTCTAATTACAGAAGTAAATCCCATGATTAAACTAAACGGCCGCCCTTGATTTGATCCGTTCCCGGATTTCCGCCGTGATCTTCGACCGGTTACGGATATCTCGCCTTTCCGTTATTGCGCTTTGCTCGAAGCCGGTCAAATTTGGTCTCGATCGCTGTTGGCCTCGATCTCGATGGGCACCTCGATTCTCGAACTCGACACCTCGCCTTCGTGCTCTGGCTTGATCCATTACGAGGCTGACCCTCGATGCGATCCCCTGGTCTCGATTAAATAGCAGAATCGGGATTCTAACCGTATACATATATCATATAAATTGAAGTAGATGGAGTAAATAAATCAAATCGATGGAGTTGGGCACTCATTCATTAAGGTCTTCATTTTCCACAAATAAAGACAAAAAAAAAAAAAAAAGTCTCCATATGAGAGTTTCCAACCACTATCCTCTATCCTTGTCAAGAGCAGTTGCCAAGAAAAAGCCATCTTCCTTACGAAGGTATAGTACTACTTATCCACAGCATAAAAGCTATGCATTTAGTCATGTCCTCTTGTTCTCCATTTCCTATACTCCTATAAATTAAAGCGTCACATATATTCAGACTCAACTACTTCTCTTTCTTTGTTTCCTACTAAACTCATCATCGTTTTGTTCAACTACTAATTAATATGGCGGACTCTTCCTACAGCCACCCTTTGTTTAGCTGCAGGAGTTGCCGGAATCCGATTGCTCTTCGAGATGATCTTCTCTCTAAACGTTTTGTGGTAATTACTCTAAAATCTTACTCCCTTTGACTTAATTTATATCACTTAAATTATAGCTGGATTTGGCAAGAAATTGAAGAAAGAAAGATTGGAGTAAGAGTTTTGAAACTAATGGGTTTGAATGCAGTGTAATATTTGTGCTCAATAAATTTGGTGATATAAAGTCAAACTTTAATAGGAGGCCTTAAAAAAAAGTTTTATATATTTTTGTTTGAAGTTGAGTTTTCTAGCTTTTTGAGAATAAAAATTTTAATAATTTTTTGCATAAACCATAAAATCTTTCTTGTGACACTATTAATCTCAGGTAATAGAACCCGATTCAAGAAGTTGATAACTTTATATCAGAATAATTTTTGATATTTCAATATACTTGTTGCAGTGATAGAGACATGAGAAAATACAAAAAAAAAAAAATAGAGTTTAAAAGTGTATTACTTATTTTCTAATGATAATGTACTCATTTCTTTATGTAAAATATCTTACTTTTTTACTTTGAAATACTTAGGACCCGTTTGATCATAGATTTTGCCAAAATATATTTTGGATTTTTTGGCAAATACATGTTTGGCCGTAGATTTACCTACATTTTGGCAAATTTCCAAAACCCAAAATCCAAATTCCAAAACCAGATCAAGCTCAAAATATCACTATTACATTTTTTAAAAATTGCCCCAAACTTTTGTATTTTATAAGTACTGAGCTCACCATTTATTATTTTGTAACAATGCTGCTTCGTCTTCTCGGTCATTTGATAGTGTATTATGTAGTTTATTATAAAAATAATAATTTTGTACCAAATTTATTTATGTTCAGGACTATGGTTTGCGATAATATAATGAATGTTATTGATAAAGGTACTGTTGGGTTTTTGTTATAGTTTTTAGAACTTGTAGGTATAAGTCACGTTTCATGTTTTTTCAAAAAAAAAAAGTGAAATATGTTTTGAAAACTTATGTCCAAACACATTTTCATATTCAAACCAAACTTCACCCAAATGAAAATTTTCAAAACAAATTTAGGAATCTATGGCCAAACGCTAGCTTAATATTTTCTAAAATAAATTGGTGGCTCACCTGACCAGAAGAGTTATAGTGGGATGGATAGGATCTTTCCTTCCTTAACCGAAGGTATGTGGTTCGAGTCTTGGGAATGAAAGAAATTCTTTCCGGAGAACGGTTTCAACTTAAATGGACTTTATATGGTACAAACTCGAATTAGTCAAGGCCCCAAATCAAATATTGGATATCGAATAGGAACTGAACAAAAATTAGGGCCCCTAAAATTCTGGGGCCCAAAGCCCCTGCTATAATGGCTTCACCCTCTGGCCATCCATGGTCACAATATTTGTATAACTATACATGAATTTATCATCAACGGTATCCTAAATATAGAAAGGTACAATTTTATTTAAACGAACTAACGAAGAAAATAGTATCATTCCTTTTGGAACGATACAAGTAGTTTTGGTTAGTTTATTAACTGTATCTTGATTTCAATTGAATTGATAAATTAATTTACATAGGCTGTTGGGATTATTTTTCTATAACTTGTAATGCTTTGTATTTATTCTTTTATTCTTTCATACTTGTATTGGTTATTAGGCAAGTTAGCAGATGTTAGGTAGTTATCCAGATCCTATAAATAGGATATTAACTGTGTAATTTTTCTTTGAGTTGTAATAATGAAAATCAGCTCCTTTTTCTAGGAGCTTCATTTCCTGCCTTCTCTCTCCTTTTGTGCGATATGCTCTCTTCCGCCATTAGAGCTCAAACTGAGCTCATCTCTCTCACCTTGACCATCTCTGGATTTTCACATGGTATCAGAGCAAGGCAACGACCTAAAGCTTCATCTCCTTACAATTTTCGTTCCTCTACTCAAAAAATCAGAAATTGATCATTGCTACTCGTCCTTTGGGAATTAGGGTTCCTGTGTGGAAATCGATCAATTAGACGATTGATTCTAGTAATTCATCTTCGCCGATAGCGATTTCATTCTGGTCGAGCCGAATCATGGCCGGAGAAGATGAAGTCCCGGTGACGGACAAAACAACCCTAGATTCAACAAGTCCACTGTACATGCATCCATCAGAAAGCGCTGGATCTATGCTAGTTCCGGTAGCTTTTGACGGAACCGGTTATAGATCATGGAGAAGAGGAATCCTCAGAGCACTCTCCGTGAAAAACAAACTAGGGTACATCACCGGAAAATGTAAGAAGCCAAATCCTGATTCTGTTAACCTTGATCAATGGGAGCGATGCGATGATATGGTAACTTCATGGATCTTAAACTCGTTGTCTAAGGACCTAGTGGATAGCTTGCAATACGTCAATGATGCTAAAGAGCTTTGGCAGGAATTAGAGGACATATATGATCAAACTAATAGTGCTAAGTTGTATCAGCTCCAAAAGGAAATAAATAATCTGAGCCAAGGAATTTTGGACATCACCGGATATTACACAAAGATGGAGAAACTTTGGGAAGAACTTAACACGCTAAACATACATGCCAAATGTGCTTGCAAATGCACTTGTGGGGCAAGAGAAAACATGCATAAAGCTGAACAGGATAGAAGATTAATTCAGTTTCTGATGGGGCTCAACAAAGTGTATACTGTCGTGAGAGGAAGTATTTTGATGATGAACCCTCTCCCAACAATAGCCCAACTTTCTCCATTCTCATTCAAGAGGAGAATCAAAGGGAAGTCAAACCAAGTACTCCCTCCGTTTCATATTAAATGAGATACTTTCCTTTTTAGTCTGTTCCAAAACAAATGACACATTTTTAAATTTGGTTATAATTCAACTTTAAACTCTTTCATTTTACCCATTTACCCTTAATGAGAAGCTTTTATAGCCATACAAATGTCATGGCCCCACAAACTTTTTACCCCTTAAGCTTTTAAGACCACAAGTTTTAAAAGTTTTCTTCTTCTTTTTTTAAACTCCGTGCCGAGTCAAACTACCTCATGTAATATGAAACGGAGGGAGTAAAAAATTTTCAATGGATTCTGCTGTCTTGAATGCGAGTGGATCAGGAAATAGCAATTTCAGAACAAACTACAGTCAACAGGGAAACAATAACACCTATAGTGGATATAAGGGGAATCAGCTCAATAATAGACCTAGACTATTCTGCGACTACTGCAAGAGGCCAGGGCACACTAAGGATAAGTGTTACAAACTTCATGGATTCCCACAGAATTCCAAGTTCAATAAGAGAAGAAGAATTGCTGGAAATGTGTTTGGGTCATCAAATGAAGCTGCTGCAATGAAGGATGATGGAAATGGCCCTCAGGATCAGGAACAGACTTGACACATGCACAGTCTGACCAAAGAACAATATGGCCAACTACTCAGCATCCTGAAAAGTTTTCAAGGAGGAGGAGACATATCCACAAGTAATACCATCAATGGAGGAGCTGTGAACTTTGCAGGAATCTCAGCATGCTCTAGTCACTTTGATTCTATTGACCATTTGTGTGATAGTTCTAGTTCAAATGCTGACACCTGGATCCTTGATTCTGGAGCCACAAATCATATGACACATAACAAATCAATCCTAACTAATATTAAAGCCTTGGTTTACCCATACTTAGTCACCCTACCAAATGGCTACAAGGTTAAGGTGACACTGATCGGTGATGTAATTCTAAGTCCTAAATTCAGTCTCAAGAAGGTCCTTTTTGTTCCCAGTTTTAAGTTCAATATGATATCAGTCCATTCTTTGACAGTTCAGCTTGATTGTATTGTAGTATTCACCAAGTACATTTGGATTCTTCTACAGCGCCCTTCATTGAAGAGGCCACTGGAGATTGGTAGACCCAAGACTGGTCTGTACTTACACTGTTCAAGCAACTGTAACACTGGTTCAACCTCCTCTAGTTCTTCTAGTGCATCCATTCCATGTTTTACTAGTAATAAAGATAAGACACATTCTGTGGTCAACACATCTAGTTCACTTTCTTCTTCTCAACTAGCTAACACAAATAAACTGGTTTCTACTATCCCTGTTGCTTCCACTATGGTTACCCCATCTCATAGTAGTAATAGAAGTAGTCCACTTCCACATTCACATCATTCTGTAAATAGTTCAAGTAATAAAAGTGACTCTTCTTTGTCTAGTAGTTCCTCTACTATAGAACATTTACTTGATCTTTTGTGGCATAACAGATTAGGACATGTACCTTTTATCAAAATGAAAGGGATTTCCTCTATACCTGTCAACTTTGCACCCAAACAGCCTTTTTTTTGCCCTATTTGTCCAATCCAGGCTGTCTTTCCCAGAAAGAACAACATTGACTACCAAAATATTTGAATTACTACACATTGACTTGTGGGGCCCATATCATGTTGCAACACATAACAAATACAAATACTTTATTACCCTTGTAGATGATTACAGCAGGTCCACATGGACTCACTTATTAAGCTGTAAAAGCAATGCTCTACACACTATTAAGGCTTTTTTGCTATGGTAGAACAACAATTCAGTACTAATATCTAGACCATAAGAACTGACAATGGTCTTGAGTTCACCATCCTTGAAGCCACCTCATTTTTCAATCAAAGGGCATTATACATCAAAGAACATGCCCATATACACCATAACAAAATGGTGTGGTGGAGAGAAAACACAAATACCTGTTAGAAACAGCCATGGCACTCCTCTATCAATCAAGATTACCCATGCAGTATTGGGGAGAGTGCATTCTGACATCTACTTACCTAATAAACAGACTACCCTCTTCATCACTCAAAGCCAAATGTCCATTTGAACTCCTGTACCAGAAAAAGCCAAGCTACTCTCATCTCAAAAGTTTTGGTTGTTTATGCTTTCCTACCACTCTCAAAACATACAAAGATAAGTTTGAACCAAGAACTACTCCCCACGTTTTTGTGGGATATCCCTTTGGGACAAAAGGCTATAAGGTACTAAATCTGGCCACTAAGAAGATAAGTATTTCAAGAGATGTAGTATTCCAAGAGAATGTGTTCTCATTT